TATGGGGAGGTGCCGTTAAATTGGAGCTGTGCGAATACCTGGACCAGCATAGACAATTTTCTGTCACAGGCTGTAGCATCCATTACGAACTTCAAATACGATATCTCGAACAATTTCGGTGAGTATTGTACCTAAAATCGTCAAAATACCGAATACAGGGAGGTACTGATATATGGGACCTATATGAAGACCTGGACCTGCATTGACAATTCTCTGTCACAGACTGAAGTTCCCATTACGAACTCTAAATACGTAGTTTGAAACTATTCCGGTGAATAATGACACTAAAATCATCAAAATACCGAATATTGGGAGGTGCCGTTATATGAGGGCTACACAAAGACGTGGACCTGCACAGACAATTTTCTGTCATAGGTTGTAGTATCTATTACGTACTTCAAATACCAAATTTTAAATAATTCCGGTTAATAATATCGCTAAAATCATCAAAATACCGAATATCGGGGGTTCCGTTATATGGGGGCTATACGAAGACGTAGACCCGCACAGACAATTTTCTATCATAGGCTGTAGTATTCATTACGAACTACAGATAATAAATTTGAAATAGTTCCGATAACTAATGTCTCTTAAATCATAAAAATACCTAATATTGGGAGGTACCGTTATATGGGGCTATACGAAGACGTGGACCTAAATGGCTCATTTTCTGTCTTAGTATGTAGTATCCGTTACGAACTTCAAATACCAAATTTGAAACAATTCCGCAATTCGCTAAAATCATCAAAATACCGAATATCGGGAGGTATCGTTATATAGGGGCTATACGAAGACGTGGACCTACATGGCCCATTTTCTGTCTTAAGCCTTGGTATTTATTACGAACTTTAAATACCAATTTTGATGGCCCATTTTCGATACCAAAAGTCCTGCAGACATAATACTCATTTGAGTTAAATTTTATCAACCTACTTCATTTCGTTCGGAAGCTAGTGTGATTTCTACAAACGGACAGACGGAAAGACGAACGGACATTGCTAAATCGACATAGAATTTTATGCTGATCAAGAATATATATACTTTGTGGGGTCTAAAATGTATATTTCGAGGTGTTACAAACGGAATGACAAACTTAATATACCCTCCATACTATGGTGGAAGGTATAAAAATGCAAAAACTGCAAAAAAAAAAAAAAAAAAAAAAAATAGACTCCAAAGAGCTAAAGTGTTGCTTCGCTTGGCCAAAAGTGGTGAACTGGCGAATTTTTGTTGTCCAGCAGTTTGTAAACAATGAAAGTGATCGTGTTTACTTCCCAAAGAGGTCAATTGAAAATGTGCACCTTCGGTTGGCCTCCAGAACTCAAGCGCCGGCCATGGTGATGGTATGGGCCGCCATAACTGCGAAAATATTCTGGAGGGTGTATTAAAGCCGCACTCAGCACACGGCACCCAAGAATGGTTACAAAATGAGGTTCCTCGCTTCATTTCCAGCGCACAATGACCACCAAAATCTCCGGATACCACTCCGTTGGACTATTGTGTCTGGAGTAATTTGGAGAGAAAGGTTGGCACTAAAAAAATACTAAAATGTCTATCATCTCAAGCAAGCGCTTCGCCTGGAATGGGCCAAAATAGCGCAGAGCAACATTCGGGCAGCGTGTTTCATTGGCCGTTTGAAGGCCATAATTTTCGTGCCAAAGGTGACCAATTCGAACAAATCTAAACTTATAGAAGTCACCTCAGACACTAAGGTCCTAATTTTTTCTATAGGAAAAAAGTCACTTCAGACACCGAGGTCCGAATTTTCCTCTTTAGGAAAAAAGTCACCATAGTTCGCTGTGGTCGATTTTTTTCATAAAAGAAAAATAGCCTTAGACACTGAGGTCGTTTTTTTCTACAGAGAAAAAGTCAACTCAGTTCATTGAGGTCGATTTTTTGCTATAGAGAAAAAGTCACCTAAGACACGGAACTCCGAATTTTTTTCAACAAAAAAATAGGCTCAGTGATCTGAGGTACATTTTTTTTCCGTAAACTGAGGCTGGATTTTTTTCTATAGAAAAAAATCTTTAGAGACTAAGGATCGATTTTTTCCCTAAAAAATGATCTTTAATATCTGCGGATTTCTATTAAAAATTCGGTATTGGCTTCTGAGATTTTTTTATGTAGAAAACATATATCCTTAGCCTCTAAGGTATTTTTCTATAAAAAAAATCAATCTTCAACTTTATCGGAATACATTTGACCTCTATTCTTCCTTAAATCGTTTCTTGGGTTAAATGATCTCCAGAATCTTATTATAAAAGATTTTTTGTTCTTCAAATACTTCTAATCACAGAGGGTCTTCTCTAGGATATCATCTATCAAATAAAACCCTCCCAAAATCCTTTGTCATGCGAAGACCTGCAATAGGCCGTCTTCACATAAAAATGCTCAAAATTTCTTCTATACACAGAATAGCTTTTAGAAGTCTTCTGGCCATAAAATAACTTTACAATGTTGTTTAACCCAGAGTAAACCACGGTAGGGGGTTCTATCCATAAAGACCTAAGAATAGGTATTCTATCCACAAAATACATCTGAACGATCTTCATTCTATACAAGACGGATTTTTGGCCGAAGGAAGCCTCTGGAGGGTCATCTATCCCCTGAAAAATTTGTAATTGTATTCTATAGAAAAGAACTTATTTGCATAGAAAACCTCAGAGAGTTATTCTTTGTTCCTTAGATGGAAAATCAAATATGAAAGTCTACCGAAATGTATTTATGTATATTTTTTATATTCTACCAACCCACTGTGCCACAGTAGCTCTGTCATAAATCATTTTATAATTTTTATACCCTCCACCATACTATGGAGGGTATATTAATTTTGTCATTCCGTTTGTAACTCCTCGAAATACTCATGTCAGACCCTACAAAGTATATATATTCTTGATCAGCGTAAAATTCTAAGACGATTTAGCCATGTCCATCTGACTGTCTGTGCGTCTGTCTGTCTGTCTGTTGTAATCACGCTATCTTTCAAACAAATTGAGATAGAAGGCTAAAATTTTGCACACATGTATATTTTCCCAGTAGGCAGGTTAAATTCGTAAATGGGCCATGTAGGTCCAAGTTATCATATAGCCCCCATATAACGGTACCTCCCGATATTCGGTATTTTGATGATTTTAGCGACATTATTCACCGGAATTATTTCAAATTTGGCATTTAAAGTTCGTAATGGATACTTCAGCCTAAGACAGAAAATTATCTGTGCAGGTCCACGTCTTCGTGTAGCCCCCATATAACGGTACCCCCCGATATTCGGTATTTTGATGATTTTAGCGACATTGTTTACCAGAATCGTTTCAAATTTGGTATTTGAAGTTCGTAACGGATACTACATCCTAAATCAAAAAATGAGCCATGTAGGTCCACGTCTTCATATAGCCCCCATATAACGGTACCTCCCGATATTCGGTATTTTGATGATTTTAGCGACATTATTTACAGGGATTGTTTCAAATTTCGCATATGAAGTTCGTAATGGATACTTCAGCCCATGCCAGAAAATTGTCTGTGCAGGTCCACGTCTTCGCATAGCCCCCATATAACGGTACCCCCCATATTCGGTATTTTGATGATTTTAGCTACATTATAAACAGATTTTTCTTCAAGTTTCGCATTTAAATATTGTAATAATTTATGACAAAAGTGGCCTATGCAGGCCCACGTAGTCGTATAAGCATTCGGTATTTTTAAGATTTTAACAGAATTTTTAACGGGTTTTATTTTTTGGAAATTGCCAAATTTGTTGGTCATTCCGTTTGTAACTCATCGAAATAATAATTTTAGACCCAACAATGTATATATATTCTTGATCAGCGTAAAATTCTAAGAAGATTTAGGGCTGTCCGTCCGTCTGTTGTAATCACGCTACAGTCAAAACGATATCGCATAGCCCCCATATAACGGTTTTCATTTGAGCGGTATTTTCCGAGGGAATTTTTTTTTTTTTTTTGAAAATTTCAAGTTTTTTCCAAATGATGGAGGGTACAAAAAGTTCACCGACTCGGCCGAACTGAGCTGCTTTTTTTTACTTGTTTTCTATAGAATTTCTTCTACACGACAGAGACTGAAATAGGTTTTTTTTTATAGAAAAGAACTAACATCAGACACTGAGGTCGAATTAAGTCACCTCTACCATTGATGTTGATTTTTGATTTTCTGTAGGAAAAAAAGTCAGTCTTCCAAATAAAAACTAGCTCTCGGTAGGTTCGGTTTCTTATCGACAAAACTTTACACATTACCTTGGTTGAATCCAATTCTTTTTGTATTTTTTTGGTATAAATAAAGTATTTATTTTCGAAATTATATTTATTTATTTATTAAAAAAAATACCATCAAAGTATATGCTAAAGTTTCGTTACTTAAAAAATATTTACAATTTTCATACTTAAACAATTATATTATATATGTCGATTTTTTAATAAGTTAATGTTAAGTTATATTTTTCCTTTTAATTTTATTAAAATGTTTTGGATCATATTTGTAATTGTAATTGCTAATAATAGGTGCTTAAATATTAAAATAAAAATTGTTAATATTATTAATTTTAAATATATTCAATTTAATTTTAGTTACTTATTTTTTATAGTATGAGATTTACATAGTTTAATAACCAAATTCTTATTTTGGATTTTTTATTTTAATAAATTTGCTTTTTTTCATTCTTTTTACTATATATTTTCAGAATAACTCAAGATATAAAGAATATTTATATAAATTTAAAATTTTGCAAGTTATGAATAAGAAAGGTGAGTTTTTATTATGTTTTCCTAGAATACAATTTGGGTCAAATTTGATTTTTAATATTTTACCAAAATTATGGCCAAATGGTGTAAATGTGACACTAAAACTTTCCCACATAAATATTAAAATCCACTTTTGGTGGCCGGCAAAAAAACTAAATCGAATGGGCCATTAAAAACCCATTTTTTTACCACAAAAATTAAAAGCAATTTTATGATGTTTACCACAAATGTTTTTGATGAGTATTTGTTTGTTGTTGGCCATCGATAGTGCTAAACGCCGGGATATACGCCAATGAAATAAATTTCCCAACTTTATTATGGCTTTACAGCAAATGAGTAAGGTGACACATTGACTATGTGACACATCAAGCGCTGTCATCTTTTGCCATCTATTCTACGGAAAATATTCCCATTAGCTTGTTTATGACCGATCACCCTACTCACCATTTCTTTTCAAAATTTTAATTTTATTTTTTTTGCAAATTAAAAAAAAAAAAATTCGAGTATATATCTTTTAAATGATATTTTGATCAAACATATTCACAGCCTCTTCAGCATTTAAATTAAAATAAATAAATCTTTTACAAAAAATATCTTACAAATATATAATATTTTTGTAATTTTGTATAAATTATTTGCATTATTAAATATCGATAAAATTACGCTCCATAGAAGGCATCTATATTTCGTCTGTGTGTGTGTGTGCGTACAAAATTGCACATTAAAATCAAATAGATTGATATTCAATGTTAAAAAAAGATTAGCAAACGACAAAAAAATGTATATTGTACATAATCCATAGAGAATTCATTACAAAATTAACAATAGACCCACCGTGGAGTGCGGCTTAAATGGGGGCAGGGGTAAGAGTAATAATATAACTTATGATTAAATGCATATAAAGTAATTTATCAAACTGGAACGATCGACAATGATGACGCTGGCAACAACAAATAAAGGCACATATGGAAACTATTGGTGCCACTGTCAGTAATGTATGAAGCAAGGGCACAGTGGGTTCAATATTTCAAATATCGAGCTAGTGGTTTCTTTCTAAGTTTCTGAGGATCCTCAGTAACAGAGAATTATTTGTTTCTATAGACAAAAAAAATTACACCTCAGTGTCTGAGGTGACTTTTTTCTATAGGAAAATTCTTCTACGGTGGCTGAGGTGACTTTTTATACCCTCCACCATACTATGGAGGGTATATTAACTTTGTCATTCCGTTTGTACCTCCTCGAAATACTCGTGTCAGACACATCCAAGTATATATTTTCTTGATCAGCGTAAAATTCTAAGTCGATTTAGCGATGTCCGTCTGTCTGTCTGTCTGTCTGTCTGTCCGTCTGTCTGTCTGTTGTAATCACGCTATCTTTCGAACGAATTGAGATACAAGGCTAAAATTTTGCACACAGGTTTATTTTTACAGTAGGCAGGTTAAGTTCGTAAATGGGTCATGTAGGTCCATATAACGGTACCTCCCGATATTCGGTATTTTGATGACTTTAGCGACATTATTCACCGGAATTGTTTCAAATTTGGTATTTGAAGTTCAAAATGGATACTACAGCCTAAGACAGAAAATTGTCTGTGCAGGTCCACGTCTTCGTATAGCCCCCATATAACTGTACCTCCCGATATTTGGTATTTTGATGATTTTAGCGACATTATTAATCGGAATTGTACAAAATTTGGTATTTGAAGTTCGCAATGGATACTACAGCCTAGGACAGAAAATTGTCTGTTCAGGTCCACGTCTTCGTATAGCCCCCATATAACGGTACCTCCCTATATTCGGTATTTTGGTGATTTTAGCGTCTTTATTCACCAAAATTTTTTCACATTACGCATTTAGAGTTCGTAATGGAAACTCCAGTCTGTGACAGAAAATTGTCTATGCAGGACCAGGTCTTCGTATAGGCCCCATGTACCAGTACCTCCCTATATTCGGTATTTTGACGAGTTTAGGTACAATACTCACCGAAATTGTTTGAAATGTCGTATTTGAAGTTCGTAATGGATGCTACAGAATATGACAAAAAATTGTCTACGCAGGTTCAGGTCTTCGCACAGCTCCGATATAACGGTACCTCCTTATATTCTATACTTTGATGATTTTAGTTACATTATTCGCGTTTATTTCAAGTTCCGAATTTGAATTTGGTAATGACTCATGACAAATAATGCCTGTGTGGGTCCACGTGGTATAGGCACCAATATAACGGCAATATTCGGTATTTTTAAAATTTTACCAAAATTTTTTCAGGATTTTATTTCCAAATTCGTTCCAAATGGTGGATAGTACTCAAAGTTCGGCCCGGCCGAACTTACTGCTTTTTAACTTGTTTCTATAGAAAAAAACCACACCTCAATGACTGAGGTGACTTTTTTTATGGAAAGATCTATCTCAATGACTGAGGTGACTTTTTTTTCGGTAGGAAAATATCACACCTCAGTATGTGAGGTGTTTTTTTTTCTATTAAAAAAATACACCTCAGTGTCTGAGGTGACTTTTGTAGAAAACGTCCGATCTGTACCATCTTTATAATATATCTTCTATTGATGGAAATATTGAGATGTACCAAGTCTGAATGGAATCGGATGAAAATTTCGCATTTTATGAGCTTCATGGATACTCAAAATTTTGACACTTTATGGGGGAGGTACCAGAAGGAGTGGATCAATATATTCTACCTTTGGTTATTAAAAATATTGAGATACGTGTAATTTTAAGGGAACCAGATGCTTATTTCAGATTTTATGATCGGTTTGGTTATTCAAAATTTCGACCCTTTGTGGGGGAGGTACCAGAAGAAATGGTCCGATCTCTACCATCTTTATGTATAACAACTATTGTGTTGGTGGAAAAATCGAGATTTACGAAGTCTGAATGAAATCGAATATCAATTTTTGCGTTTTATCAGCTTCATGGATATTCAAAATTTCGACCCTTTGTGGGAGAGGTAACAGAAGGAGTGAACCAATGTATTTCATCTTCACACCAGACCATGGGTTAATAAAAATATTGTGATGTGTGTAATTTGAAGACCATCGGACACGTACATCACGTTTTATTAGAATTATTATTATTTTTTAAAATTTTGACCCTTTGTGGGGAAGGTACTTGATGGAGTGAACCTACATTTTTGCACCTGACCTAGCACTGATGCAAATATTTGGATTCGCAAAGTTAGAGTAAAATCGGATTATCCTTTCTCTTTCTGTGCAGTAAATTATTTTCTTAGAAAATGCTAACATTTTGTGTGGGAGGTACCGAAAGGAGTGGACCGATATTGCTCATATCCGAACTCATATAAGTTTAACAATGATATTACGATGTGCCAAGTTTGGATCAAATCGAATAACTCCCTTCGAGAGTTATCGTGCGCACCAGTCAGCTAGACAGACAGACGGACGGACATCGCTAGATCGACTCCAAATGTCCTGAAAGGGATTTGGTCCAAAGACCTAGGGTGATTTTTTTTTTAAATTGACTGAGGTGAGATTTTCTATAGAAAAATCTAAATCTACCTCAGTGACTCGGGTGAGATTTTCTATAGAAAAATCTAAATCTATCTCAGTGACTGAGGTGAGGCTTTCTATAGAAAAATCTTCATCTGTGACTGAGGTGAGATTTTCTATAGAAAAATCTTCATCTGTGACTGAGGTGAGATTTTCTATAGAAAAATCTACATCAGTGACTGAGGTGAGATTTTCTATAGAAAAATCTACATCAGTGACTGAGGTGAGATTTTCTATAGAAAAATCTACATCAGTGACTGAGGTGAGATTTTCTATAGAAAAATCTTCATCTGTGACTGAGGTAAGATTTTCTATAGAAAAATCTACATCAGTGACTGAGGTGAGAGTCTGAGGTAGAGTTTTCTATAGAAAATCTCGCCTCCGTCACCTCAGGCACGAGGTCGTTTTTTTTTTCTTTAGAAAAACACATAGGATTGAGGTAGGTTTTTTTTTATAGAAAAAACGCATCGGTGAATTGAGGTTGGATTTTTTTCTATAGAAAAAACTAGCCTCATTGGAATGATGTTGGATTTTTTTCTATAAAAAAATTGCCTTGGTGAACTGAGGTTGCATTCTGTTCAAAGCCTCAGTCTCTTAAATTTTTTTCTATAGAAAAAATGCAACCTACACATATATCCATAGCCTCTAAGGTCTTTTTCTATAAAAATCAATTTTCAACTTTTTCGGCATACATTTGACCTCTATTCTTCCTTAAATGGCTTCGTAATTAAATGGATCTCCAGAATATCTTTATACAAGGCTTTTTTGTCCTTCAAATACATTTAACCACAGAGGGTCTTCAAGAGGCCGATTTGTAGAATATCTCTATCTTCTCTAGAATATCATCAATCAAATGAAAATCGTTTGTCATGCGTAGACCTTCAATAGGTCTTCTTCACATAAAAATCTTTAAAAATTCAAAGTAGACCTCGGGAAGGGCTTCTACCCATAAAGACGTAAAAATAGGTATTCTATCCATAAAATACCTCTGAAAGATATTCATTCTATGCAAGACTTGGAAATATGGATTTTTAGCCGAAGGAAACCTCTGGTAGGTCATCTATCCTCAGAAAACTCTGAAAAGTTCTTCGATACATACATAAGTTTTTATTTGCATAGAAAACCTCAGAGAGTTATTTTTTATTTCTTAGATGGAAAATCGAACATGAAAGTCATACGAAATGTATTTATGTATATTTTTTGCACTCTAACCACCCACTGTGCCACAGTAGCTCTGTCATAAATCATTTAATAATTTTTTTCTTTTCATTTTTTTTTGAAAATTACCAACATTATTTGAGTAGTGGCTGATTTCATTTTAGTCGCCGAAAAATAAATCAAATTTCATAGAAAATACACATCATTTTTCTTATTGGAAAATAATAACGAAAATCTTGGCTTATTTTACAAAAGGATCAACAAAAAATATCAAAAAACATAAATCATTAAATCTAACTTTGTATTGGCTTACAATACCTCGACTGCTACTTAAATCTACTCATACGCACAGATACATACATAAATACATTATTACAATGGACTTACAATCGAGTTGATGATGTTTGGCTTTGGCCATTATTACCCTCGCCCCATTGGCCGCTACAAACGCTGATGCATTTTACAATTGCCATTGCAATTGATTACGGACCATACCCAGTCAACGTAGTTGGGCACCTTGGCGTAGATGCCAAATTTATTGCGTTTGGCACAGCCATCGCCGAATGACGTGATACCGAATATGGTCCAAGGATGGTTGGGTTTGGTGTTGTCGCGACAGAGCAGGGGACCACCCGAATCGCCGGCGCAGGTATCGATGCGTCCCCGTTTGTGACCGGCACAAAACATATTTTTCGTAATGGTGTAATCGTAATATACCGAACGGCAGTTATCCATTGAGATGATGGGGACTTCGGCCTGATGCAGGACACTGGTGCCGGCTACATCGCGATTCCGACGCTTACCCCAACCAATGACCGTACACTCGATATTCTTCGGCAGTGGTTGATATGGTTTGGGTAGGCAGGAGAAGCCTATCCAGGTTGTGGTATTTACCGGTTTGGGAAGTCTGTAAATTTTTCAAAATTTTTATTTTTTTCCCACAACTAAGGAGGTCATTGGCCACTCACTTCAGTAGGGCAACATCACTGTCCACAGTTTTCTTATCGAAACTCGGATGTTTGTAGCTTTTCAGAACTTTCAAATGCATCTCTGTGCCATCCTCATGATCCAGATTATGTTCACCCAAGCGAACATACAAGACTTTGCGTACACAATGGGCGGCTGTCAGGACCCATTGGGGGGCAATCAATGTTCCACCACAAAAGGCTTCCTGGAAAAGAATAAAAAACAAGACTTAGCTAAAATTAATAACCTCAAAGAAATTTCTCTATCCTTCCTCACCTTAAAACGATTAAAAATCGCCACCTGCCACGGCCATTCACCTTTTCGTGCCGCCTTGCCGCCAATAATTTTCAACATATTATACATATTACGTTTATTACTGCGAATCGGAGCAATACCACACTTCAGTTTCATGGGAGTATATTCAGGTCCTCGATATCCTTTCCCATTCATAATAAAGTCGCTGACAATTGAATTTGAAATAGCACCATCATCACTCACATCACGACGACGTGTAGCAGATGGTCTCAATTCGTAGGCGGGTAGTTTTTGAACTTGGGCATTTAACCATTGCTGGCAAAAACTTCCCTCCGTATAGCAATAGGCTATTTCGCGCAGAACTTCACGTCCACACTGTTCACGAACACGGCATTTTCTGGAAACAGAGAAAGTTTAATTCAGTTTTAAATGTAACAAATGTTCTATACGGAATGGGTTCATCGGGATGAACTCATTTCCTATACGGAAAAGGTTCAATCGGGATGAACTCTTTTCCTATAGGGAAAAGGTTCAATCGGATGAACTCTTCTCCTATACGGAAAAGGTTCAATCGGGATGAACTCTATTCCTATACGGAAAAAGTTCATCGGGATGAACTCTTTTCCTATACGGAAAAAGTTCATCGGGATGAACTCTTTTCCTATACGGAAAAAGTTCATCGGGATGAACTCTTTTCCTATACGGAAAAAGTTCATCGGTATGAACTCTTTTCCTATACGGAAAAAGTTCATCGGGATGAACTCTTTTCCTATACGGAAAAAGTTCATCGGGATGAACTCTTTTCCTATACGGAAAAAGTTCATCGGGATGAACTCTTTTCCTATACGGAAAAAGTTCATCGGGATGAACTCTTTTCCTATACGGAAAAAGTTCATCGGGATGAACTCTTTGCCTATACGGAAAAAGTTCATCGGGATGAACTCTTTTCCTATACGGAAAAAGTTCATCGGGATGAACTCTTTTCCTATACGGAAAAAGTTCATCGGGATGAACTCTTTTCCTATACGGAAAAAGTTCATCGGGATGAACTCTTTTCCTATACGGAAAAAGTTCATCGGGATGAACTCTTTTCCTATACGGAAAAAGTTCATCGGGATGAACTCTGTTCCTATACGGAAAAAGTTCATCGGGATGAACTCTGTTCCTATACGGAAAAAGTTCATCGGGATGAACTCTGTTCCTATACGGAAAAAGTTCATCGGGATGAACTCTGTTCCTATACGGAAAAAGTTCATCGGGATGAACTCTGTTCCTATACGGAAAAAGTTCATCGGGATGAACTCTGTTCCTATACGGAAAAAGTTCATCGGGATGAACTCTTTTCCTATACGGAAAAAGTTCATCGGGATGAACTCTTTTCCTATTCGGAAAAAGTTCATCGGGATGAACTCTATTCCTATACGGAAAAGGTTCGGTCGGAATGAACTCTTTTCCTATACGGAAAAGGTTCGATCGGGATGAACTCTTTTCCTATACGGAAAAGGTTCGATCGGGATGAACTCTTTTCCTATACGGAATGGGTTCATCGGGATGAATTCTTTTCCTATACGGAATAGGTTCATCGGGATGAACTCTTTTCCTATACGGAAAAAGTTCATCGGGATGAACTCTTTTCCTATACGGCAAAGGTTCATCGGGATGAACTCTTTTCCTGTACGGAGAAGGTTCATCGGGATGAACTCTTTTCCTATACGGAAAAAGATCAATCGGAATTAACTGTTTTTATATACGGAAAAAGGTTCAATTGGGATAAACTCTTTTCCCATACGGAAAAGGTTCGATCGGGATGAACTTTTTCCAATACGGAAATGTTGATCGGGATGAACTTTTCCCATACGGAAATGCTCATCGGGACGAACTTTTCCTTTACGGATAGACTTCTCGTTTTCTCGAAGACAACAGGAATTCTTTTGACTTACTTATATCTCCGCGTTGTGCACTTTGGTGTACACTTTGTCCACCGGCTCCATTTGGAGTAAATCCTCCTATGTTTCGGTATCAAATGCTCTGGGGTGGCTCTTTCCTTGGCTGGCGGAGCACCCGTTAAATTCCGATACTCATTGTAATCACTGAACTCCTCATAGGACATATCACCGCCATTCTCTTGATTGTCGCCATGACTCAAATCGATGTCGAAATCCTCATATTGAAATACTTCACCCTCGGAGCCATCATCGAAGGTCTTGAAGCCATTTGATTTGCCTTTTCGGTGATGGCGTGGATTTTGTCTTTGTGGTCTACGCGGTCTCGGATGATGGCGCATTGTCTTTACATTTGTGGGCGATGTCTGCAGATACTCGCTGGGCGGTTGGGCTGAACCCAACTCGTTGAGAGCATCTTCGGCTTGTTCCTCCGAGTAATCACTGAGTTCATGATGTACTGGAATATCTGGATAACTGACTTTTGGTGGTGATCTATGGTGAGGTGGACGTTTCCTTTTAGCTTTGATAACATAAAAATCTGATTCAACACTATCGTCGTCGTCGACTTCCTCCCCGCCTCCTCGCCAATATTCGTGACGACCCCCACTCGTGCTGCTGCTTACATGTTCGGCAACAAGTTCCTCACTTTGTATTACAGGATGTTGGTTGTACGACTCGGTTGGTGTGCCACCACTCCATAGTGTGGGCTGATGCGTCGTCTGGCTGCCAACACTTGCTGCAATGGGCGCTGTGGCAGCGGCAGCTGCTGCATTAATTACAATTGTTGGCACTGTGTTGCTGGTGTGCTGTTGTTGTTGCTGTTGCTGCTGTTGTATCGGCTGGACACCATGCGGCGGTAGACTGCTTGACGTGCTTGTTGACCATTTACTAGCGTCCGTTGCCGCCGGATGACATCTACGAAAGTTGAAGGAAAGAATTTCGTTAAGCGACACAGAGAGAGAGGGAGACAAATTACATTTGGCGAAGATTTATTTGTGGAAGACAAATGGAATCTGTAACCATTTGTCTGACGGAAACTATAACAGACATACTTTATTGTGTGGGAGATCCATGTTTTTTTTTTTGGGATTTTGTAAATTTTCGACAATTGGGTCAGTTGTGAAAGGCATAATGGGATGAAAATTAATGGATGTTTATTCAGAGAGTTATGGATAAAAATTTCGTTGGAAAGTCTTTGAATTTTCATAGGAGATTTTTGCGTTATCCGTCCTGATATTTCATAGACAATTTTTCGTTATCCGTTCGGATTTCATAATTTTCACAGAAAAGTATGTTATTCGGATTCTTAATCCAGATAAGTTTTTAAATGGGAAATATTATCCGATAAAATATTTTCTTAGGACCATAGGATAAGTCTATCGGATATTTTTTCCAAGAAAAAGTTTATTCAGATAGATTTTTTCTACGAAAAAGTTTATCCGGGTAGATTTTTTCTGTGAAATCATTTATCCGAATAGAATTTTTCTTTGCAAAAGTTTATCCGAAATAGATTTTTTCACAGAAAAAATTTATCCGGATGCAGGTTTTTATAGAAAAAGTTTATCCGGATACAGTTTTTCATAGAAAAAGTTTATCCAGATAGAGTTTTTCATAGAAAAAGTTTATCCGGATACAGTTTTTCATAGAAAAATTTTATCCAGATACAGTTTTTCATAGAAAAAGTTTATCCGGATACAGTTTTTCATAGAAGAAGTTTATCCGGATACAGTTTTTCATAGAAAAAGTTTATCCGGATACAGTTTTTCATAGAAAAAGTTTATCCGGATACAGTTTTTCATAGAAAAAGTTTATCCGGATACAGTTTTTCATAGAAAAAGTCTATCCGGATACAGTTTTTCATAGAAAATGTTTATCCGGATACAGTTTTTCATAGAAAAAGTTTATCCGGATACAGTTTTTCATACAAAAAGTTTATCCGGATACCGTTTTTCATAGAAAAAGTTTATCCGGATACAGTTTTTCATAGAAAAAGTTTATCCGCATACAGATTTTCATAGAAAAAGTTTATTCGGATACAGTTTTTCATAGAAAAAGTTTATCCGGATAGATTTTTACATAGAAAAAGTTCATCCGGATAGATTTTTTCATAGAAAAAGTTCATCCGGAGGCAGTTTTTCATAGAAAAACTTTATCCGGATGCAGCTTTTCATAGATAAATTTTATCCGGATGCAGTTTTTCATAGAAAAAATTTATCCGGATACAGTTTTTCATAGAAAAAGTTTATCCGGATACAGTTTTCATAGAAAAAGTTTATCCGGATACAGTTTTTCATAGAAAAAGTTTATCCGGATACAGTTTTTCATAGAAAAAGTTTATCCGGATACCGTTTTTCATAGAAAAAGTTTATCCGGATACAGTTTTTCATAGAAAAAGTTTATCCGCATACAGATTTTCATAGAAAAAGTTTATTCGGATACAGTTTTTCATAGAAAAAGTTTATCCGGATAGATTTTTACATAGAAAAAGTTCATCCGGATAGATTTTTTCATAGAAAAAGTTCATCCGGAGGCAGTTTTTCATAGAAAAACTTTATCCGGATGCAGCTTTTCATAGATAAATTTTATCCGGATGCAGTTTTTCATAGAAAAAATTTATCCGGATACAGTTTTTCATAGAAAAAGTTTATCCGGATACAGTTTTCATAGAAAAAGTTTATCCGGATACAGTTTTTCATAGAAAAAGTTTATCCGGATACAGTTTTTCATAGAAAAAGTTTATCCGGATACAGTTTTTCATAGAAAAAGTTTATCCGGATACAGTTTTTCATAGAAAAAGTTTATCCGGATACAGTTTTTCATAGAAAAAGTTTATCCGGATACAGTTTTTCGTAGAGAAAGTTTATCCGGATACAGTTTTTCATAGAAAAAGTTTATCCGGATACATTTTTTCATAGAAAAAGTTTATCCGGATACAGTTTTTCATAGAAAAAGTTTATCCGGATACAGTTTTTCATAGAAAAAGTTTATCCGGCTACAGTTTTTCATAGAAAAAGTTTATCCGGCTACAGTTTTTCATAGAAAAAATTTATCCGGATACAGTTTTTCATAGAAAAAGTTTATCCGGATACAGTTTTTCATACAAAAAGTTTATCCGGATACAGTTTTTCATAGAAAAAGTTTATCCGGATACTGTTTTTCATAGAAAAAGTTTATCCGGATACTGTTTTTCATAGAAAAAGTTTATCCGGATACAGTTTTTCATAGAAAAAGTTTATCCGGATACAGTTTTTCATAGAAAAAGTTTATCCGGATACAGTTTTTCATAGAAAAAGTTTGTCCGGATACAGTTTTTCATAGAAAAAGTTTATCCGGATACAGTTTTTCATAGAAAATGTTTATCCGGATACAGTTTTTCATAGAAAAAGTTTATCCGGATAGAGTTTTTCATAGAAAAAGTTTATCCGGATAGAGTTTTTCATAGAAAAAGTTTATCCGGATACAGTTTTTCATAGAAAAAGTTTATCCGGATACAGTTTTTCATAGAAAAAGTTTATCCGGATACAGTTTTTCATAGAAAAAGTTTATCCGGATACAGTTTTTCATAGAAAAAGTTTATCCGGAGGCTGTTTTTCATAGAAAAAGTTTATCCGGATACAGTTTTTCATAGAAAAATTTTATCCGGATACAGTTTTTCATAGAAAAGGTATATCCGGATACAGTTTTTCATAGAAAAACTTTATCCGGATACAGTTTTTCATAGAAAAAGTTTATCCGGATACAGTTTTTCATAGAAAAATTTTATCCGGATACAGTTTTTCATAGAAAAAGTTTATCCGGATACAGTTTTTCATAGAAAAAGTTTATCCGAATACAGTTTTTCATAGGAAACGTTTATCCGGATACAGTTTTTCTTAGAAAAAGTTTATCCGGATACAGTTTTTCTTAGAAAAAGTTTATCCGGATACAGTTTTTCATAGAAAAACTTTATCCGGATACAGTTTTTCATAGAAAAACTTTATCCGGATACAGTTTTTCATAGAAAAAGTCTATCCGGATACAGTTTTTCATAGAAAAAGTTTATCCGGATACAGTTTTTCATAGAAAAAGTTTATCCGGATACAGTTTTTCATAGAAAAAGTTTATCCGGATACAGTTTTTCATAGAAAAAGTTTATCCGGATACAGTTTTTCATAGAAAAAGTTTATCCGGATACAGTTTTTCATAGAAAAAGTTTATCCGGATACAGTTTTTCATAGAAAAAGTTTATCCGGATACAGTTTTTCATAGAAAAATACAGTTTTTTAAAGAAAAAAGTTTATCCGGACTCAGTTTTTCGTAGAATGACTTCATTCCGCTAAATTTTTTTCATGAGAAAGTTCCATCCGAATAATTTTTTCCCTTTGGAAAAATTATATTACTCTGTGTTTATCATCCAAAAATAACATCTCACCTCAAATATCCACCCTTTTAGCAAAATTAGGCCGAATTAATGAAATATTAGTTTAATGATAACTACGAGTCTTTGTTTCTAAAATGTCAGGCCTTTTGTTCTTATGACTTCACCTAAAATTAGTCAGCCATTAAGACAGACAATGACACACTCCATTAACTCTGATTTCGGTGGAAGAGAACTCCAATTTTTACACACTCCATTAACCGGTGACAATGACTCAATTTTTGATCAATGGCCGCAAAACCCTTTTGTTAATCCAAGAGGCAAGTTTCTGTATTTTTTATTTATTTATTTTTTTTTTGAAATACCTACCGGCGACATTGACGTTCTTCGATGTGTTTGCTATGGCCACATTTCCGCTTGATTTTACAGTGACGTTCCCGCCGCTTCATGCAATCGGGCGAACATGAGGACCACGGAGACCATTGTCCAAAAAAGTAGTGCGGCTCGTGGTGATGATGGTGACGTGATGGTCGCCGTCGTGGCGTCCATCGGTGATACGGATGTCGGCGAGGATGATGGTGATGACGACGATTTTCATTGGTATACACCCGATGGACCCTTTGTCCATTGTTCCAGTGATGGAAACGATTTCGGTGGGGCCGCTGTCCATCGTAGTGTCTCCTATGTTGTTCGACCGGCGATTGTTGTTGCAAGTTCGACTGGTTAAGAGGGTGTGCTGGTGCTGGCGATGTCAGCAAATGACCCATTGAAGCGGTAACTTCCGCTGCTGGTTTCTGTCGTTCGACCAATTGAACATGACTGCTCTGTAATGAGGCAAAGAGAGAAGACAAAGAGAAGAGTTACATTAAAACAAAAGTGAAAAACTGTTTGTTAGGCACCCCCTCACCGTAGGAGGAGGCGGGCAGGAGTAAATTGATATGATGTGAACTTTATAGGTTTTAAGGTTTAAGGTTTTGTTGTGTCTAGCATCTTGTGGCAAACATGATTTATGAATCACGTTTTGTGGCCAAGTTGACTTGGAGTAGTTGTCTCTTTGCTTGAGGTTTTCTATTGTGTGACGCCGCCTTTTCCATTCAACTTCTATGCCATCAATGGTCGTATCATTTGGCTATCAAACATGCAATATGTAATATGTTTTCTCGTCTACATGTTGGGATATTAGTTTCAAATTGACTATGGTTTCATGTCGAGTTCTTTTATTTATCAAAGTATTCGTGTTTATCTGGAAATTTTCAAACAGTGTCTTAATTGGTGAATTTAGTTTTGACAAATGTGACAGTCTACTAAATGACATTAATCAATAGTTCTTAAATCATGCGACAAATAAACTTTTTCTATGAAATAAAGGTATCTGGATAAACTTTGTCTATGGAAAACTGTACCCGGATAAACCTTTTCTTTGGAAAACTTTATCTGGATAAACCTTTTTCTATGAAAACCGTATCCGGATACTGTATCTATGAAAAACTGTATCCGGATAAACTTTTCTATGAAAAACTGCATCCGGATAAACTTTTTCTATGAAAAACTGTATCCGGATAAACTTTTTCTATGAAAAACTGTATCCGAATAAACTTTTTCTATGAAAAACTGTATCCGGATAAACTTTTTCTATGAAAAACTGTATCCGGATAAACTTTTTCTATGAAAAACTGTATCCGGATAAACTTTTTCTATGAAAAACTGTATACGGATAAACTTTTTCTATGAAAAACTGTATCCGGATAAACTTTTTCTATGAAAAACTGTATCCGGATAAACTTTTTCTATGAAAAACTGTATCCGGATAAACTTTTCTATGAAAAACTGTATCCGGATAAACTTTTTCTATGAAAAACTGTATCCGGATAAACTTTTTCTATGAAAAACTGTGTCCGGATAACCTTTTTCTATGAAAAACTGTGTCCGGATAAAATTTTTCTATGAAAAACTGTATTCGGATAAAATTTTTTTATGAAAAACTGTATTCGGATAAACTTTTTCTATGAAAAACTGTATCCGGATAAACTTTTCCTATGAAAAACCGTATCCGGATAAAATTTTTCTATGAAAAACTGTATCCGGATAAACTTTTTCTATGAAAAACTGTATCCGGATAAACTTTTTCAATGAAAAACTGTATCCGGATAAACTTTTTCTATGAAAAACTGTATCCGGATAAACTTTTTCTATGAAAAACTGTATCCGGATAAACTTTTTCTATGAAAAACTCTATCCGGATAAACTTTTTCTATGAAAAACTGTATCCGTATAAACTTTTTCTATGAAAAACTGTATCCGGATAAACTTTTTCTATGAAAAACTGTATCCGGATAAACTTTTCTATGAAAAACTGTATCCGGATAAACTTTTTCTATGAAAAACTGTATCCGGATAAACTTTTTCTATGAAAAACTGTATCCGGATAAACTTTTTCTATGAAAAACTGTGTCCGGATAACCTTTTTCTATGAAAAACTGTGTCCGGATAAAATTTTTCTATGAAAAACTGTATTCGGATAAAATTTTTCTATGAAAAACTGTATTCGGATAAAATTTTTCTATGAAAAACTGTATTCGGATAAACTTTTTCTATGAAAAACTGTATCCGGATAAACTTTTTCTATGAAAAACTGTATCCGGATAAACTTTTCTATGAAAAACTGTATCCGGATAAACTTTTCCTATGAAAAACCGTATCCGGATAAAATTTTTCTATGAAAAACTGTATCCGTATAAACTTTTTCTATGAAAAACTGTATCCGGATAAACTTTTTCTATGAAAAACTGTATCCGGATAAACTTTTTCTATGAAAAACTGTGTCCGGATAACCTTTTTCTATGAAAAACTGTATCCGGATAAAATTTTTCTATGAAAAACTGTATTCGGATAAACTTTTTCTATGAAAAACTGTATCCGGATAAACTTTTCCTATGAAAAGCTGTATCCGGATAAACTTTTTCTATGAAAAACTGTATCCGGATAAACTTTTTCCAAGAAAAACTGTATCCGTATAAACTTTTTCTATGAAAAACTGTATCCGGATAAACTTTTTCTATGAAAAACTGTATCCGGATAAACTTTTTCTATGAAAAACTGTATCCGGATAAACTTTTTCTATGAAAAACTCTATCCGGATAAACTTTTTCTATGAAAAACTGTATCCGTATAAACTTTTTCTATGAAATACTGTATCCGGATAAACTTTTTCTATGAAAAACTGTATCCGGATAAACTTTTCTATGAAAAACTGTATCCGGATAAACTCTTTCTATGAAAAACTGTATCCGGATAAACTTTTTCTATGAAAAACTGTATACGGATAAACTTTTTCTATGAAAAACTGTATCCGGATAAACTTTTTCTATGAAAAACTGTATCCGGATAAACTTTTTCTATGAAAAACTGTATCCGGATAAACTTTTTTTATGAAAAAACTGTATCCGGATAATTTTTTTCTATGAAAAACTGTATCCGGATAAACTTTTTCTATGAAAACCTGTATCCGGATAAACTTTTTCTATGGAAAACTGTATCCGGATAAACTTTTTCTATGAAAAACTGTATCCGGATCAACTTTTTCTATGGAAAACTGTATCCGGATAAACTTTTTCTATGAAAAACTGTATCCGGATAAACTTTTTCTATGAGAAACTGTATCCGGATAAACTTTTTCGATGAAAAACTGTATCCGGATAAACTTTTTCTATGAAAAACTGTATCCGGATAAAATTTTTCTATGAAAAACTGTATCCGGATAAACTTTTTCTATGAAAAACTGTATCCGGATAAACTTTTTCTATGAAAAACGGATAAACTTTTTCTATGAAAAACTCTATCCGGATAAACTTTTTCTATGAAAAACTCTATCCGGATAAACTTTTTCTATGAAAAACGGATAAACTTTTTCTATGAAAAACTGTATCCGGATAAACTTTTTCTATAAAAAACTGTATCCGTATAAACTTTTTCTATGAAAAACTGTATCCGGATAAACTTTTTCTATGAAAAACTGTATCCGGATAAACTTTTTCTATGAAAAACGGATAAACTTTTTCTATGAAAAGCTCTATCCGGATAAACTTTTTCTATGAAAAACTGTACCCGGATAAACCTTTTCTTTGGAAAACTTTATCTGGATAAACCTTTTTCTATGAAAACCGTATCCGGATACTGTATCTATGAAAAACTGTATCCGGATAAACTTTTCTATGAAAAATTGTATCCGGATAAACTTTTTCTATGAAAAACTGTATCCGGATAAACTTTTTCTATGAAAAACTGTATCCGAATAAACTTTTTCTATGAAAAACTGTATCCGGATAAACTTTTTCTATGAAAAACTGTATCCGGATAAACTTTTTCTATGAAAAACTGTATCCGGATAAACTTTTTCTATGAAAAACTGTATCCGGATAAACTTTTTCTATGAAAAACTGTATCCGGATAAACTTTTTCTATGAAAAACTGTATCCGGATAAACTTTTTCTATGAAAAACTGTATCCGGATAAACTTTTTCTATGAAAAACTGTATCCGGATAAACTTTTTCTATGAAAAACTGTGTCCGGATAACCTTTTTCTATGAAAAACTGTGTCCGGATAAAATTTTTCTATGAAAAACTGTATCCGGATAAACTTTTCCTATGAAAAACCGTATCCGGATAAAATTTTTCTATGAAAAACTGTATCCGGATATACCTTTTCTATGAAAAACTGTATCCGGATAAACTTTTTCAATGAAAAACTGTATCCGGATAAACTTTTTCTATGAAAAACTGTATCCGGATAAACTTTTTCTATGAAAAACTGTATCCGGATAAACTTTTTCTATGAAAAACTCTATCCGGATAAACTTTTTCTATGAAAAACTGTATCCGTATAAACTTTTTCTATGAAAAACTGTATCCGGATAAACTTTTTCTATGAAAAACTGTATCCGGATAAACTTTTCTATGAAAAACTGTATCCGGATAAACTTTTTCTATGAAAAACTGTATCCGGATAAACTTTTTCTATGAAAAACTGTATCCGGATAAACTTTTTCTATGAAAAACTGTGTCCGGATAACCTTTTTCTATGAAAAACTGTGTCCGGATAAAATTTTTCTATGAAAAACTGTATTCGGATAAAATTTTTCTATGAAAAACTGTATTCGGATAAAATTTTTCTATGAAAAACTGTATTCGGATAAACTTTTTCTATGAAAAACTGTATCCGGATAAACTTTTCCTATGAAAAACCGTATCCGGATAAAATTTTTCTATGAAAAACTGTATCCGGATAAACTTTTTCTATGAAAAACTGTATCCGGATAAACTTTTTCTATGAAAAACTGTATCCGGATAAACTTTTTCAATGAAAAACTGTATCCGGATAAACTTTTTCTATAAAAAACTGTATCCGTATAAACTTTTTCTATGAAAAACTCTATCCGGATAAATTTTTTCTATAAAAAACTGTATCCGTATAAACTTTTTCTATGAAAAACTGTATCCGGATAAACTTTTTCTATGAAAAACTGTATCCGGATAAACTTTTTCTATGAAAAACTGTGTCCGGATAACCTTTTTCTATGAAAAACTGTGTCCGGATAAAATTTTTTTGTGAAAAACTGTATTCGGATAAAATTTTTCTATGAAAAACTGTATTCGGATAAACTTTTTCTATGAAAAACTGTATCCGGATAAACTTTTCCTATGAAAAACTGTATCCGGATAAACTTTTTCTATGAAAAACTGTATCCGGATAAACTTTTTCCAAGAAAAACTGTATCCGGATAAACTTTTTCTATGAAAAACTGTATCCGGATACTTTAGACTATG